CGAGGCAGAAATGGCTTTACTGGGGGGGGGCAAACTCTTTCCCTGGGGGGGCAATTGCCCCCCCCCCCAGATATATAGTTAAAAAAGGCACTGTTACACCCGGGAAATGAAAGCATTAGCGAAGTCTAAAGTTCATCAGTTATCGCGGGCATGGTCATCCTCACTGATCTGAAAAATATGGCGGACTGCCATGAATAGCGGACACTGATTGGTCCAATTTAAAGCTTGCATTATTAGTTAGGTCTCTTAAGGTCACGATGTTTACAGAGCTGACAAAAGCACCAAACTTGGCTCAGTTATAGCTTATGATAGTACTATCAATATTGGAAGGGGTGCCCAATGCAAATATTCCTCATAAGCGACTTAAAGGGGATTAAACTTTTGAAAATATCTCGTCTTGGGCTCCCTGTGGTGCTTTTTATATAAAGTGCATTTTATGCCGAAAATCAATCTTACATGTCGTTTTAATGGTCGAAGTAAACGATTTAGTCTGATATCTTTTATTTCTGTTTGTTAAAACCTTTCCAAATGAGAAAAAAAGGCTATATTTAGAAATTGCTATAATAGTACCACTCGCCAATTTGTCATTTCCAAGATGGCGGCTCCATGCATCTTTACGAAAACTGTAAGTATTCAGCCTTTGATATGCAATTATAACAGGTTTTCTTTTTTACAAATTTCTCTAGATAAATCGTTTTATGTTAAAGGATGTTTTTAAAGTGTGTTTGCAATTAGTTGTATTTTTTTATCTAAAAGTCTGATTGTGTGCTATCAACAATTGTTAAAAATTTCAGAGATGATGGCATTTTCTTGGAGTCATTGCATCATCTGCCAGAAAGACACATCAGAAGAGGTAAGATGTCCATTAAGATCACGTGGAGCAGATAAGAGCGATCCCAGAAGCGTGTATAACTCGTTTCTACAAAATGTTTCTGGGTTCCGTGATTCACTGGATGTAATATTGCCTGTTTGCCTTACGCTGCCGCTCGAGCTAAATGTTGATGCCTTGATCGAAAAAGAAGCTGCGTGGCACAAGTCTTGCCATTTACATTTCAGTAAATCTAAACTAAATAAGGCAAAGGAAAAAGCAACTCGAAAAAGGAAACAAGATCAAGCAAAGCCAGAGCAGGAGAAACCAACCAAAATCCGTATACTGTCCTCTAGCATAAAGAAGAACTGCAAAGAGAACTGCATATTGTGTGACCAAACTTGTACTGGCCCGCTTCATAATGTCACTACTTCCACTAATGATGAAAACCTTCACCGAATGATAACAGAACTAGAAGACAACACGCTGTTACCTAAGATTTCTGGGGTTGACCTTATTGCAGCTGAAGCAAAATATCACATGAAATGCATTACAAATCTGCAAGAAGTCACTTAACACGAGCACGACAAGAATCATGTGAAGAAGATGAGAAAATGAAGGAATCTCAAGCCGTCAACGAAAGGTCAAACAGAAGTTGAAAATTTTAAGCAAATGTAGCAGCAGAACAAATTTCTTCAGCGGCGAATGAATGTAAAAAATTATTTCTTTTTCAAAATTTTTCGCCAGCAGCGGCGAAATACGTGAGTGGAAAACGGGCTTAAGGATGCTTGCGCTATACTATTCCGTAGCAATCTCGTCCCCAGAGCCATGGGAGGCACCTCCAAAATTTCACGAGGATGGCCCTGGGGACGAGGTTGATTCCATATCGATGAGCGCAATTTATCCTTTCTGAGTGCATTTTATCTCCAGTAGAATGTTCTTTGTCTTGTGACAATGAAGTAGGCGTACAGGTTATAATGTAACTGAGGGGTTACTTAATTAAGAAAAAATGCGATATATTTTCAGGCATGCTCATCAAGTCACTGCTATCGCCCTACATAAGCTTCAGAGAGATGCATTTTCCCAGTGCGTTGACGAGGCATCGTTCTCTACGTGGGAAGAGGCAAGAAAGTGAATAAGCCCGACGTTTCTCTTCTGGGATGTCATTCTACAGTTAGAGACACTGGTGTTGCTTGTAATACGCGCACATAGGCAGCGAAACTTCAATTTATTGTACGTCGAGGCCATGGAAGAGCTGATACCTTTATTCTTTGCACTGGACCACGTCAATTACGCACGCTGTGCCTCCATCCATATTCGTGACCTGAAGTCTCTACCGGACAACATCGCTAAGGAATTTCAGAACGAAGGCCACTGGGTATTGTCAAAAACAGGCAACAGGTTTTCTGCTATTCCCTTTGACTAGGCGCATGAACAGGATAACAAAATCGTCAAGAGTGCAGGTGGTGCAGTAGGCCTAACAGAGAACGCTGTAGCATTTAGGTGAGCACAAAAATCTATTCTTTGCTTATGCTTCGTTATCAGCACAATGTGCCAATTGAAAATTGTTAATTAAGTTGTTCTGTTTTGTTATTTTATTTATTTATTTATTTATTAGTTTCGCCATATTACAATACACAAAAGTGACAAAACTATAACAAGAACAAGAATAATATACATGACTATAGGCAGGGTGACCGCAACAGCGTGAGCCAATTACTGCGGGCCCAAAATTATTGTTATCGCGTTACAAATTAAATGTTCTATTTCTTTTTTTGATTGATTATTTTATTTATTTACAATCATTCAACAGGCTGGTTATAAACAAAATGGTGTATTAGTTAACACGCAATCAAACTGGTAAAACGGCAAATCAGAGCACATTGTTTCGCAGAAAATAACTATTCACAGGAATGGAAGTACTGAATTTCGATATATTCTTTTTTTTTTCAGACGTTGGATGCTTTCAGGCCCTGAGGCAACGAGACTTTTGCATCAATTTGAGGAGTAATACCTAGGACCTGATAGCGAGGAGTTTCAGGATCGTCTAAATGATGAGATGGGACTAAGCGCGCAGAAGACGTTCAAGAAGCAGGTGAACAATCTGGTTGATGTAATAAGGACGATGGGGAACCCCTTTCTTGACGACTTCCCAGAGCTAGTTACACTGGACAGACGGGATTGTATGGATGATGCTGTAGCCGAGGCAGTAGTTAACCTTGAACAGCTTGGAAAGAAGCAGTACCAGGATTTTGTGAAGGCAGTTATAAAGGACAGAACGATTTCAATAACCAATCCCATCAAGAAGAACAAGCTTCCCCTTTATGGCAAACGGCCGTCTCGCGCCAAATCTAAGCAGTCGAAGACAATCACAGCACTGCAGAATAACGTCGCCCTTTTCGCGCAATTGTATATAGCAATGCAGAGTCGCGACGCTGACCTGGAGGAATTCTTCAGCCACGAAGTACAGGGATTCCCTCCCTCGTTATCAGAATTTGGCAACCTCCGTCTTCCGAATGCGAAGTCCGAACTGATGAAGTGCATCATCCAGCCGCAACAGCCCGAGCCTCCACCCACGTTTGATTGCCGAATATGCGACGGAGCTGTTATAGTCCATTGTCTTCCGGTTACAGGAGCAATCACCTTCGACGACTACGCCGACAAAGTTTTCATACCATATCTCCGCGGTCAGGACAGCAGAAGAGTGGACGTTGTTTGAGATTCCTATGTCCCTGACAGCTTGAAAGAATCAACTAGAGAAAAGAGAGGGAAAGGCGTGCGACGCAAAGTTGCAGGTAGCACAAAGCTTCCACCGAAGTGGATTCAATTCCTGCGTGATTCAGCAAATAAGCAAGAACTGTTCGCATTTCTTACATCGAAGTACGTTGTTGCGTACACCTGGCCAGAGACGAAGACGGTATACATGATTTCAGGTTTGTATTGGTAATGCTCACATAATTAGTAGTATCATGCCAACTATAATGTATAGTTCATTTTTAGGGGTTTATGTGATCTCCACAGACTCAAACAGATCGATACCTGAGTGTAACCACGAAGAGGCAGACACACGGATCGTCGTCCACGTTCTCCATGCCATTCAAGTCGAGCAAGCAAAGTCTGTATTGGTCAGAAACGTTGATACAGACGTCGTCGTCATCCTAGTAGGAACGTTCTACAATCTTAAATCAATCGTTCCCGACATAGACCTGTGGGTGGCTTTTGGAATGAGAGGCCACTTCTCGTACATCAACATTAACACCATCTGTGTCAGCCTGGGTGAAGCAAGGTCTAGATCACTACCAGTTTCCCATGCGCTTACTGGTTGTGATATCACGTCATCCTTTTATGGGAAAGGCAAGAAGTCCGCCTGGCAGGCATGGGAGCTGTATCCAGATGTTACCTCGACTTTCGAGTTTCTGGCAAAGAACGCTTACCATCACCTAACGGCAGACTCTGCCCATTTCAAGAAAATTGAACGGTATGTTGTCGTCCTGTTTGAAAAATCGGGCCCACTGGATTCCATAAACAAGACGAGGATGGAGCTGTTCTGTAAGAACAACAGAGCAATGGTCAAGCTTCCGCCAACACAGGTAACTATGACAGCTTGCATGCTAAGAGTTTTTCTTTACTGTATTGCTATTCATGATGCTTCATTCAACGATTACATTTTCTTTCAATCACAAGGATGCTCTCCTACAACATGTTCATCGTTCAATTTTCCAAGCCGGAATATGGTCGACCAGTGAGCACTCACAACAGGCAGTAGCATCTCCAGACAGGTTTTCTTGGAAGGAAGAGGGAGGATCATGGGTACCGAAATGGATAACCATACCCGAGGTCTCGAAGGCTTGCAGCGAACTAACAAAGTGTACCTGCATGCAAAGGTTCATGCACAAGATGCAAGTGCGCTAAGGCGTATTTGGCGTGCACTCCGCTTTGCAGATGTAAATGTGTAAACAGTGCAAGTGATCCGTGAACAGCCGTATTGTCTAACCTTTTTAGCGCTAAAAAAAGTGAATGCGTCTGCAATGTGAACCGAATCGGGATCGGGAACTATATCAAAATGCAAATTAACGTGAAGATCTGTTTTGAAATGTTATTTATTATTTATTTGCCAACATTGACGCTGAAAAACGCTGAAAAGTGAAATAATTTTCTGAGTGGAGACTGGGCACTAGTCAGTATACTTGTATAATTTTGTTCTTTGCTGAATTTAGACAAAAGATATAGCAACCACAGGTAACCCACTTCGTGATTTTAGGTAAAACTTCATTAGCCCATTAATCCTTAACAATTACGATTCGCGATAGGCACCCCTTCTAATATTAATTTGTATATGCTAAGGAAGTTATGTGCCAAATTTGGCACTTTTGTCACTCCTGCAAACATCGGGCCACTATTTTGCACTAAGAGACCTGACTATATAACGACTGCATGACGACAGCGAAATAGCAAATATTTCTTGATTTGATGATTGATAAATTTCTTGCAAATATATTTCAATTTTGCTCGCATTTTTGCAAGATTTTGTAAATTTCAAAAGCTCTCTCAGAAAGAAACTGCGAAAGAATCGGCTAAAGGAAGGGAGCCGACGTTTACGAAGGTAAGTTTGTTTTAAATATTGATTATTTAATGGCTTTAAAACCCGACGACCTTTGCGTATATGAAACAACTAAACCAGACAGTATATATTTGAATTTCAGTGTATCTTTTATTGATTCCCTTTTTTTATGATATGGAATTTTTTAAATAAAAAGAAAGCAAAGTTATTTGCAAGCGAGAATTTGAAATCATTTTATTGCAAACTCAAAGTTTATCGATAAACTATAAAGCCATTTTAAAAGGCAGTTTAGTTTTATAAAGAACACTAGTGACTTTAAAACGTTTTGCGAAGCGTTTGTGGTTGAATTTCACTTAAAATTGAGGCTTAATTACGTATAATAACATACCTAACATATATATGTTGGAAAATTAATAATTTTGTAATTAAAAGTGATATTTTTAGGCGATTTTTCATTTGTAAGAATATTCTCTAAGGGCCTGTTCATATGATCCCGCTTATCGGGACGTCTCGCTTACCGAGACGAATATTTCCGTGCGTTCATATGGAGTATTTCGTCTCGCTTGCCGAGATGAAATTACTGTAGTTCTATAATTAGCATATGCAAAACTTTTACATTTCAGTCAAGCAATACAAATACTTAGCGATTTTAGTGTTTTTCTTCGTTTATTTACAAGAAAAAGTATTGCTTCAGGTGGTTATTTAATACTTGTTTACAAAACAAACATAAAACCAAGTAAAAAGTGTTAAATTAAACCGGCAAGACTGTTTCACTTCATCCCGGTAAGCGGGCTGGCGTGTTCATATGGAAAAATTTTCATCCCGCCTACCTATGATCTCGGCAAATTCAAACGAGATCTCGGCAAGCGGGCCAGCTCGCTTTCTCATATGAACACAATGCAAGATTTTATAGGAAAATAGATAGGCGGCGAGATCATCGGTAAGCGAGACGTCCCGGTAAGCGGGATCATATGAACAGGCCCTAAAAATTATCGTGTTACCATGACAACTACTTTAGATACTTCATGTTCAGAAAATACAATGGTTTTGTCAGCAAGGCGAGGGTTTCTGCATGCATCTATTTTCTAGTTTATCCCGAATAACGGTGTGTTTCTCAGGCCAGAAGGATCATAGACGATGCAGGGGAGGTATTGTCAAAGGGGAAGTTTACCTAAATTTATTCGAAGTAGAAGGAATAGGAGGTCATCCCTCAGAATTTTTTTCCGATTTTCCATTCCAAAAGGACAGGATTATCAACATTTTCTGAAGGGAATTTGCTTAGAAGTTGGAAATTGCTGTAATGTGTAATCTTAGGATTTATTAGCAATAACGTAATGCCCTTCTAAGTTTCAGGAAAATATCACTGTATTAAGACTTGTATTTAAATTGTACAAAGTATTCCCCAGGCCGTAACAATCGTTCAATGTTGTCTACTTTGATATTCATTAAAATTATGCCCACTGCAGACGGTAGTAAACTTACAGCGGAACAGAGCTCCACAACGAAACAAGATTTTGCATGCTTGATCATGATTTCTCCGAGAGAGCTTTTATTGCTTTCTCTTCTGCATGTGCTTCAATATGGCTTCAAGGGGTCTCTCTGGCTAGTCTCGTTTTCCTTCTGACTGTTTTCATAAACGGCCGACTGCCTACACTGTGGGGGAGATTAATGACTTGTAGAATGTCAGTTCCAAATTGCTGTGCCATCGTTAGTCAGCTATCATGAGTTCAGGTATTTTGCAAGATGTCAGTTAAAACCTACCATCTACAGCATGGTTTCTTAAGGGGTAAATCTACGGTAACTCAACTACTGCATGTCTACCAAGAAATCCTAGATCACTTAGCTGGTGGGAAAGAAGTTGATACAATCCACCTATACCTGTTCAAGGCCTTTGATCGTGTTCAACATCACATATGCTTCTGAACAAGCTTGAGCAATATGGCATATCAGGCTCGCTTCTTCAGTGGTTTCGTAGTTACCTGAGTGACAGATGTCAGCGCGTTGCCTTAGATGGGACCCTCTCAGATTGGCTCCCCGTGACCACTGGAGTCCCACAGGGATCCATCCTAGGACCCCTTCTTTTCCTAGTATACATTGACGACATGCCAGAATACGTAGGACAGGGCTCGAGTATTGCATTATTTGCGGATGACTCTAAACTATATAGGCCGATAAAAGTAGTATAGGGAATGAGGGTTCTAGACCACTAACTGATCTAGGCTCTATCATCACTTTTTTATTTTCGTCTTAAATCAACAAGAATCCTGCAGTATTCTAGTCAAATTTTTCTAGACCACTTTCTCCGCCCATCTTCAACGTTGAATATTTCCAGTCGACTTTCAACCAATCTCTAAATTTTCTATTTAACAATTTACTCAAAATCCAATTACAGTCAGCTTGTCACTTCCTGGTATTCTTATAACTTGAACACCAAGGGACTTCGCTTTCTCGCCCATCACCACTCTTAAGAATCCTTTCTCCTCTTTTGGTAGACTGTCGTAGTTTTTCCTCAGATGATTCTCATCCGTTACCACTAACCTTAGTGGTAGTTGTTTCTTGAACTTGAACCTCTTCAGTGGAATCACTACTTTATACTCTGGTCTGGGAATACGTTCTTCTTGCTTTTCCCGTGGAGGTCCTTCGTGAAGTTCTAGTGCTCTTTCAAGACTGTAGTTTTCGCTTTCAAGTTCAGCCCTTACTGTTACACAGCTCGGTTCTATTTTTCTTCAATCAACACCTCAGCCTCTAGATCTTCTATTGAGTGGTGCCCGTACGCGTAACTTGTAACACCATCTTCAAGTAAGTACCGTTTGTCGTCGAAACAGCTGAGTGTAATTTTCTTCAATTCATAAGTTCCGATTTTATGTTTGATGCTTCTAATCGTGTTCATCTTATGTCTCATCCTACCTTTAGTCTTAATTACGTTCTTAAAGTTTTCGTGAGTGAGTTTGTTTCTGATCACGTACTTTTTCACACCTTTCGCTGTCATTCCACCTCCACCACTCTCCTTCACATAGGAGTACATCTTTGACCTCAACCCCACGAACTCAATTACTGGTACTCCTTCAGCTTCATCCTTAAACTTTCCAATTACCTTCTTATTATGAGCTGAGTAATATGGAGAATCTTTCGGATAATCTGAGTTGTCCCAACAGTCCTTCTCCTCACCGATCCTCTTGAAGTCCTCGTACACGTCATCAGTCTTAATCTCATACATTAGACTGTCAGTGTCTGTGAACAGGAGCTTTGACTTGTCACCGTACTCCTTCTTGATCGTGTTGTAATGGAAGTCGTACATCAGAGTCTTAGACAAGTCAAGGATGCTCATTCCCACATAGCACGGTTTGTTCAGAGTTAACACTTCCTTCATTCTCTTCACCACGATTAAGTTCTCATTCATAATCCTGTGTGATTGGAAGCACGGCGATGCTGTAAGTTTTAGGAGATCGTTTTCCGATGACACTAATTTTACATCAACTCTCTTCCTCAAATTTTCCATAGTCTTTCCGTAGATGGAATTATTCATAAGTTTGAAGAAGTTTTTCTCAAACGCATTCTTAGCGACTGACCGTTTTTGAGTATTGAAGTCAATATAGTTTTTCAGCCAAGTTGACTGCTTGAATGAGACGGCTCTGTGAACCTTTGTAAGTTTCATTCCGAGTTCAGTGTATAGTTTCAGATTACGGGCATGTAGGACGTAGTTCTTCCTGGGACCTAATGAGTTCACCAGTTTCCGTACTCCACCAATCGTAAGCTGGAATTTCTCAGCAATACTCTTTGCATAGTCCGACAACATTGACGCATTAATCTCCTTACTCTCTGGAGCTAGTGGATAACCATTATGTAGGTTGTGAAGTTCTTCTGGATATTCCATGTCAACCTCAAGAACCATACTCCTTCCACTGTCTCCTAAGTAGTCATCAAGGTTTATTTTATCAACTTCCTCAACCCACTCAAACTCTCCATTTGGTAGAGGTTGAGACATTGCCCAGCCATATAAATTGTGGGCATCGAGGTACATAAGGAACTTGTTTTCAGCCTCTTCGTCGTACGTTTCCATGTACTTATTATTTGCTGTAGAGTGTCTATGAGCAATATGACTTATCCCACCTCTCATTCCCTTCTCAAAGAACTGGAACATGTCCATATCGCTTACCAATTCTATTTCCTCTCCTGACTGTTTTAGGAAAGCGTCCCAACTTAGACTTGGTGCTGAGATGTAGTGAGCAGGGTCAAGCTTGTAGTTTTCCAAGCAGGTCTTCCTGAAATTCTCGAAAACATCTGCTAGAAGAAGAACGTCAGTTTCCAGGTAGAGATCGTGGTAGTCTCTCATTGTTTTCATCTTGAAGTGGTCCCAGACTTTTATAGCTCTCTGGTAATCTTCTTCTTTCACTTCAGACTCGTATAGAGATGAGTAGAACTTGTCTTTACTTGGAAGCCCCTCAGTATTAAGTTTACTTATGTCATCCAAATATTCATACGGGAATATACCTTTTTGTCTCACAATATCGAAGTCCTCACCTTGCCACCGCTGACCGACTATCCTGAAGTCTTCAGGTGAAAGGTTACTCACAAGTGCCTCCAGGGAAGAAACCATGAATTGTATTGAGTCAATGAACACAAGACTTTTACCTAATGAGAAGGAAATGTATTTTTCCATGTTGTTTGGGACCACGTTGATGTTCATCTTAAACTTACCAATCTCCTGCATTATTAGATGGCTATCGTAACCTCTTAGATTGTGGAAGACCACAGGAACTTTCCATGTGATTCTATATTTCAAGTTGCACATATTATGGGCAGCTCCACGGTAAAGTCCAGTTACATGGTCGTGGTCTCTCACTCTGTCATCACCTAAGTCGTTGCCACATATGGAGCAGTTCCTTGTCATCCAGAACTCAGCTTCTTGCTCTGGTGTGATTACCATCTTTTTCTTGAAGATTTTATTTACCATCTCTCTGCACTTAATGGACTCCTTCAGTACGGTCTTCAAAAAGACCTCTGTAGCGTCTTCACCAACGTAGCTTACGTATTCACCGGAGTACTGATCATCATAGTGGCACACCGTTTTCAACCCGAAACTACAAGCTTTATGTGTTTGGTAAAGTTCTGTTGTACTCTTTTCCTCAGTGTC